ACCTGGGGAAACCCGAGGCCAACCTCTGGGCTTTTGGAGCTGGGGATACAAAGGTTCTGAAGCTAATTATACACCAGCTGAGAAGGAGATACTGGCAATGTACAAAGGATTTCGGGCTGCCTCAGAAGCGGTCAGCACTGAAACACAGCTCCTCCTGGAACCCCGATTGCTGGTGCTGGGATGGATGTTCAAAGGAAAGGCTTCCTCCACGCATCATGCAACAGATGCCACGTGGAGTAAATGGGTTGCGTTGATAGCACGACAGTCTCGAATAGGAAACCCCAGCCTCCCAATAACATAGGAGGTGATCACGAACTGGCCAGAGAGCAAAGATTCTGGGATGTCACCAGAACAGGAGGTGACACATGCTAAAAAGCCCCCACCATATAACGAGCTGCCAGATGAGAAGCGATATGTCCTGTTCACTGATGGGTCTTGTCATATTGTGGGAAAACATCAATGACGGAAAGCTGCTGTATGGAGTCTCACGCAACAGGTCACTGAAGCTGCTGAGGGACAGGGTAATCGAGCCAGTTTGCAGAGGTGGAAGCAGTCCACCTTGCTTTGGATATTGCTGAGCGGGAAAAGTGGCTGAGGCTCTACCTGTAACTCATGAGTGGTGGCAAATACCCTGTGGAAATGGTTGCAACAATGAAACAGAGTAACTGGCAACATAAGGATAAAACCCTCTGGGCTGCTGAATATGGCAGGACATTGCAGCCCGTGTGGAAAACCTCGTTGTGAAGGTGCGCCATGTGGATGCCCATGTACCCAAGAGCTGGGCCACTGATGAACATCGACACAAGCAGCAGGCAGACCAAGCTGCTAAGATTAGAGTGGCTCAGGTGGACTTGCACTGGCAGTGCAAAGGTGAACTCTTCATAGCTCGGTGGGCCCATGAGACCTCGGGCCACCAAGGTAGAGATGCAACATACAGGTGGGCTCGAGATCAAGGGGTGGACCTCACCATTGCAGAGATCATCCAAGGATGTGAGACGTGCTGCAATCAAACATGCCAAAGCGGGTAAAGCCCCAGCAAATGGAGAGTGATGGCTGAAATATAGAGAGGCCTGGCAGATCAACTACATCACACTGCCACAGACCCGCCATGTGCTCACAATGGTGAAACTAACCACTGGATGACTGGAAACTTACCCAGCTCCCCATGCCACTGCCCGTAATACCATCCTGGGCCTTGAAACCCAAATCCTGTGGCAACACGGCACCCCAGAGAGAATGGAGTCAAACAATGGGACCCATTTCAGAAAAAAACTCATAGATGCCTGGGCAGAACACAGCATCGAGAGGGCCTACCATATCCCCTACCACGCACCAGCCTCTGGGAAGATCGAGCACTACAATGGACTGTTAAAAACCACATTGAAAACAATGAGAGGTGGGACCTTCAAAATCTGGGACACGCATCTAGCAAAGGCCACCTGGCTAGTCAACACAAGAGGATCTGCCAGTCGAGCTGGCCCGGCTCAGTCAAAACGTCCACGTGCTGTAGATGGGGATAAAGTCCCTGTGGTGTGCATGAGGAATATATTGGGAGAAATGGTCTGGTTTAGTCCTGTGCCAGGCAAAGGTAAATGCAAACACATCCATGGGATTGCTTTTGCTCAAGGACCTGGGTGTACCTGGTGGCTGATGCAGGACAATGGAGAGGTCCGATGTGTACCCCAGGGGGACTTGATTCTGGGTGAGAACATACCGTGAATTATACTGTGCTGTTGTTTGTTATTTTGTTATTGTTAACTGCTAAATTGCAGCTGGACATGACACAGACGGTATAGAGTAAAAGGGTAGATTATGTCATGGTTCATCTAGGAGAGGGTTAAGTTTCCCCAGTATGTGGGGAGGGAGCTCTAGCTGGGTTATTCAGTACCATGCTGACGTCAGATCGGGGCACAATGCATGGGAGAGCTGGGGGGACATTTTGTGTTCCTGGTCAGTACCCTCACTTGCTGTACTCAATGCGGTAGATCTCTTATCATATTCATTGTTATTAGTGTTATTGCTGTTTTTTGGTTTATTACACTGTTGTATTTTTTTTTCCTTATTTCAACTCCGGGGTTTATATTTTACTCCTTACCCTGACCAGTCCAAGGGTGGGGGATGGACAACAGCAGCATGGTCTCAGATCCCGGCAGGGCCTAAACCACCACAGATGTCTACAAAACCAAGGCAAACCAAGAGGAATGTACGTACAGATCAAAATGTTGATTGTAAGGATGCGGTCGCCACACTCTGTATCTGGTACTTTAATTCAGAGTCTGGTCTTGTGCTGAATGCCCATTATTGACCAGGAGAAACCACTCAGTGACAAAGCATGGTAGTGGGGAAAATTGGGAGATTTACTTTAAAAGCAGAATACTGAGATCCAAGCTTAAACACTAGCAGATACAAACCTAGCAGGAACAGCATGGCTAATCAAAAGACCTGCATAATAACACAGCTGAGAGTCAGAGCAGACATGCCAGGGCGGGTGGGCAACTGCATACATTGCAGGGGACACGGCTACCAGCTTACTGAACCTCCCATGCTTTCACATCTGAAAGGACAGGACCATCATTCATGGTACAGCTGATGAGAGACAGGTGACCCTCAGTATGCATACTTTTTTCTGTATTAGTAGTGAAATGACTTAAATGTTCCTCAGAACAGTTGCACCAAATGGCAATTGCATACTTAGTCAGACATTTTCATAATCACTTACTTGTCTGGAATGCGATACTGGACCCATCTGTCTATGCCCACCCCTCTTCCTGACCCCATTCCTGGGTCTTTTAGCATATGGAGACTCTCCTTCCTAACCTCTCTTCATCCTTGAATTTGTCTGTGTGGTGTAACACAAAGCATCAGTAACCAGCTTTGAACTACCACCTTCTCCTGCCGAGTCTGAACTGTTTTCTGTTTCAGCAAATCAGTGTCCCTGACAAACACCTTCAGTATATCTGAATCATCTCAGCGGGGAAATGCTCATGAGGATGAAGCAAAAGCTGAGACCATCCGCAACCTGAGGAAATCATTTGCTAGCCTGTTTTCCGATTAACAGCCCTGAAGCTGGATACGTGCTTTTGTCAGCCCTCACTCTTCATATCAGCATATCTGGTGTCATCCTGGAATAGATTCAATGGTACCCAGCAATTTATTACACCTGGGTAAAGGGAATGTAGATAACTATAGTTGTTTTAATACAAAGAAAATATTCTAATAACTGTCTGAAAAGTGACTGATAAAAGTGGCACTATTTCATTGGGTTTTGTGCATAATCAGAATCACATCTGTTGAAATGACTGAGTTGTAAAGCAAATTTTACTCTTGCTAACCCCTGTGGAGTAAACACAGTTAACACAGTGCAAACTAGATTTTATTTTGATTGTATATAGTCACTACACCAATTACTGAATACTTACTGAGGTTGAACTAAAAAAAAAAAAAAAAAGAGTCAAGAATAAGTGTTCATTGACTGATAAAAGTGAGCATGCTTGAGCACAGACACAGTGATCTGTGGAACTTCATGATACCAACTTTGTAAGAAGTAACTTTTCAGAGAAAAACTACAAGTTAAATACAGTACCAAGCATCAGTAAGCACCAAAGATCACATGAGCAAGTCATTCAAATGGACTGCTGATTTGTTCCAAATCACTCTGCTCATAGCAGATAAAACATCTCTGTTTCATGCTTTTCATTTATGTCCCCTGCACATGAGAGAAAAACGTCATGTTCTAACCCTGTAGCGTTAGCTCAAAAGTAACCTGAGATGGGCTTTCCACACAAAAAACTTCCCCTGTCCCTGGAAACACCAGAGCTCACATTTCACACAAATTCCAGACAAAACCCAGCTACCTCAAGCACTTTAGTGACTTGGTCACATCTGGCTAAGTATGCCCCATGGGAACATGCTTAATTAATAACAGAGCTGATGAAGTGCACATACGTGTGTGCTGAGTGTTTCATAAGCCTGAACAGACAGAGAGATGGAGTGAAATCCTGTCCCCCTCCTTGAACTCCCACCAACTTCACTGGGCAAGTGCAAAATGAATGCAAGGTAACAAATGTGCAATAGAACAGGAAAACCATCCCTTACAAATACAATGAGCTGGGGTCCATCTAGAGACATCAAACCATGGAGGACATGTATGGGATTGCCCCTAGCAGGTAAGGATCAGTACTAGTCCTCCCCAACCACTCCCAAGAATTATTCTTCCAGAGAAGACAGAGAAATATCTTTGCCAGGTGTGCTTCTCCTCTAAGCCTGCAACACAGAATGAAACTGTGTATGAGCACAAATACAGGAACTGAGACACGGCAAAAAAATTACAGGTATGACACAAGCTACATTCGTGATTGAAAAAAACACTCTGGTTAAATCAATGTATCTGTGGCTACTTCCACCAGCTGAGAACCTACCCCTTGCACCATACTTTTTCTATTTATAACACAGATAATGAAGGCACCTATCCTCATCCCACCTACTTGACTTTTCTTCAAGTTTTGTCCAATATTTTACTCACAAACAACACATACAGCTTCAATGTCAGACTTTTTACTTTGTGCTTCCCCTTAGCAACTTCACCTTGATAACACTTAGGAATGCCCAGGGAGGCAGGGAGGTCAGCAAGTTAAAAACATTTCAGCCAATGGCACAGATCCAACAGGGAGATCCCCAAAGCACCAAAAGCAGCAGCAGAACTTGCCATCTTGGATCTTATGATTCACTGGTGGGAAAAAGCCAAATAAGCAATTGCTTCCTGCATAGCACCTGTAATGAATGTCTAAATCCAATGCAGTCATCTGGACCTTGTATGACCTACCCCTGAGCAGGCCTTTACACATATAATGGCTTTTGTGACCTGTGCACTTTCAGACAAGCAACAGCATAGCTTTTCCAGGTTGGGAGGCTCTTGAGAGTCATCTAAATCAATGTTTTATACCTCAAGTTCAGTATCATTGAACCACTCTATTCTCTGATGATTTATATCTTTTTTTTTCTTTTCAATTCTGTGTTGTCCTTCCAGGTTTGCTAAGCAGTTTACAATGTAGCATCATAAATACATGTCACTGTCTGAGAAAAACAGAACCTGATGCTTTGCAATCTCCAGGAGCAATAAAATAGTGACAAATGGCCTTGAGCAAGCACTGTCCCACTGTCCCATAACAATAGCAGATTAACAGGCTCCACTATTGAGAGGAGATAATACAACCCTGATGGGAGAGGATTTCCTTCTCTAACACTTTCCTTAGCATGGTTTATGTCTTTCCCTACTAAGTGGTCACCAGAGCTGCAAAGACAGAAATAAAAGCTTACTGCCAGAATCCTCAATTGCTTAATTGCCTGAATCTTTTTGTCTCTCTTACCAACACAACCTAGACGAAAAATAAGCAACTAGAGACTAGTACGGCATAGCCCCACAAACTGACCCCAGTTCATCACTAAAACCACAACAGTTGGATCATTTGATGATGCTGCATTTGAACACAGCAGGGCTGTCCTCCAACAGACAATGAAAGATAGCACTGTTGACCTGATACCCAGCAGTGCCTCAGATCTCTTCATCTGCCTACAGCTCCCAGCTGTCATCTTTCCAGGGACAAGCAAACTGAATGACATCTCCCCTCCAGTTTGCAAAAACAAGTAAAAGCAACAGGCACTCACTCTCAGCTTAACTTGGTTACTCCAATAGTTCCTGAAAAGCATCTTCAGTTCTATCCACAGAAATGATTTAGTAGAAACATTGATTTCATAAGTTAAAATGATGAAACTCTATACTTTGTCCTATAAATGCTGCAACAGTACACTTCAATCTACAACAATGATGCTCACACACTAAAAGCTGTGGCTAGCAGGCAATTCACCATCATATATTCAGGTTACCACCTTTGTACGGGGTTTCTCTTCCAAAATCCCTACAGTCTAACAAAGCGAGAGAGAGGGAATACAAGGAGTACATTCTCCATTTATATGAATGAGGAACTAAGGTATACACCAGAGGTACTTAGGTATCTAAATACAGCAGCTGAAGTTAGGAGCAGTAAGAAAGCAACAGAAAAGTCGGTGAACAAAAGTTACATTTAAATCACAGGGTAGACATGCCTTGGGATCTTTCTCACACAGCTGTGAAAACTGAGCACCTGGTCAGAATCTCCCTTCTGTCCTGCATGCTTCAATTTTCTTCACACACAAGAGAGGAAACAAATAGATTTGTGTGTTTGGATCCAGCCCAAGCACCTGGGACACAGCTATGACACCCACTCATATCCACCATCTGGAAAATTAGTTTACATTTTGCTGTTTAGATACAGACTGAGAAACATCTTGACTTTCTTGTAAAATCTAGAATGTGGTATTCAAGAGGACTGTCACTTATGTTCCTATGCAACTAAGTCTTGTATAAAGCTGAGGTTCAGAGGAATAGTCCTCCTCATAACTGCAGCGGTATTTTCTCCTGTTTCACTAACCACAGGCAGGTACATAATACCTGAATATCTGGTTTAAGTTTCACAAATATGATAAAACAATAAATAGAAAAGCCAAGGACAACAGTTCCTTATTTCATGTGAATGTTAGTAGCAACTCTAACAGTGCTGGATACAGATGAACACTACAGGTAAAAAATGCCCATCTTCAGGCATTTCGTCTTTTGTGATTTCACTTCTATAGCATTTAAAAATTATAATGACACACATACCTAACTTCGGAAAATAGAAATAAACAAGCAACTAGTTTTCAAATATCTCCTGTTTTGTCTTCTAATTTTATACTGTTGATCCTGAGATATTAACTTTATATTTCATGTCTTGCTTTATGAATAAACAGAACTCCTCTTCAGCGAACTTGACAGTTCAGAGTAAGTCATGCTCCTTTACCTTTGGCTCACAATACCTTTACTATAGTGTGAATCAAGAAAGGGAAGGTGTATCTTCAGACTACTTAGTGGTGTATCTGTAAGAAGGCTGAATTCATTTCTTCAAAAGCAAACATTCAAATGACAAAATCCAGAATAAACAGAACCCGTGGCATCAGCCTGGCAGAAGTATGACAAGGTTGTCTTCACAGCAGAGAAGGCCCAACTCCAGAGCAGCATGGGGCATATCAGCAGAGCAAGCAACATGACTGTCTTCAAGGCACTGGTAATGTGAGTACCATTGGCACCACAAAAATTAATGTATCTCACACAGAGATCACTGTTCCCAGAAATGGTTTGAAAAAAGCGAGTAGAGTAAGATACAACTTTAAATTATAAAATAATTTGTAAAACCTTATCTGAATATTATGTATGCGTTTCTGAAGCACTTATCTCAAAGACAAAATGGCACAAGGCCAACGCAGCATAGATTTCCCTTTTCCTCTTCATAGTCAGCAGAATATAAAAAAACCCCAAAGATATCACTGCAAGCTCCAAGAGGCCTAACTATACACTTAAGTGAAAATTCTATTGGAACAAGGCAATTCAACAGCTGCAACAGATGTTAAAAATTAAGGCTAATCTTGGTATAGAGTCCCCAGACTATATAAATACACACTCTTAGGTATTTAATTATGGCAGCATTTGCACTGATAGGCCATTGATGTGAAGCAGAAAAGGGAAAAAAAAAAAGCAATGCTACTTCTGACAGCAAAATAATGTATTATATTTAACTTCCACTGGAGTTAACAGCAGAACTTCCTGACCCTACTGAAGTCAGCTGAATTTATACAAAAAAAGATGAATCACTGAAATATCACCTGAAAAAAGCATGTAGGTATTACTGATTAAATAACTTGTACTTAACAGGAAATGTCATTCCATTTCCACTGTTGAAATTTCAAAAAGATTTTAGAAAATAGTATCAGCTGTCACAACAGTCATCAGTACCATTTACATTTATAGACACACTGAGATCAATCCATCTTAAAAAAAAAAAAATATAAGAAATGAAAAGTTATAGCAAAGTTTAGTCATTCCAGTCTTCCTTTAATGGAGCTCCAGCATCAGCCTGCAGATCTTATCAGGAGACTGTAGCTCATTAGTTAGTAAGACAACACTTGAAAGGTGCTCATAACATGTTACAATACATTTCCTCTTGGCAAGATGTATTTTGGTACTGAAGTAATGGAACTAAATGGAATATACTGCAGTAAAGTGAGAATTCATTCTGCTTCTCCTGCTGTCATCCCATTTCCACTGCAACAAAGTCAACCTATTTAATTCCTTGAATACATTAAGCAGAAGGAAGTATCTATTTTTGCACCAGTTTTAGCTCACACACAGTAAATGCAGCCACGTACTACAATTTGTAAAGTTAAGGAGAAAGACAAAAAAGTTTTGCTGCTGGTTCTTTGTAAAATTGCTCTGCTTCTGTTCAGACTTCTCAGTTGCACTGTAGCATGAGTTTACTCAGTTGTGTGTTCTAGTATTTCCATTGTAAAGAAAATCCCTTCCCTGTATCTTTATGTACTAAGTAACAATATAAAAATGCTTTTTACCTCCTAAAACACTGAAGGAAAAAAGAAATGTCATCTTTGTAAATTTCCACAAACACACATCTACCAGAAAAGGATACTACCACTGTTGTATGTGGAACATGGTAGATTTTTTTAATAATGATTACTAGCCAGGTAGATTTTAAACAGCATCATCTTTCCTGGCAATTTCATAAAACTCTTCAAATAAGACAGACAACTATAGGGTTTGTATCTGAAGTGCTCTATATCTGATGCAACAAATGTTTGGCCTGTATCTTTCTGGTCTCCAAGCAGCACTTCATAGATGATTAAGGGCAGGGGTGGGAGCAGAACAAACTGTTCTAAGTTGTAGTGCTTCATGAAACAGACCTCAGTGCCAGGTGGTACAGTACTACCAGAGCATAAAACAAACCCAGCCTTTGTGGTCAAAACATTACCATGCACATGTGTTCTTGCTGCAGTCTGAAGAGAAGGCAGATATTAGCATCTGGGATTTACAATCTCCTGCAGTTAGAAAGCAAGCTCAGGGACTAGAAAACTCACTGAAGGAAAAAGCAGCAATCAAATGAACACACGGCGAACGTCCATGGGGCGATCCCGGCTGGGCCTAGATGGAAACCTGTCACTGGGACTAGCTCGTCCTGGAAGTGTAGGGTTTGCTCCAGGCAAGGAACCAATTGGGTCAAAATGTGGTCTGAATGAAGGAAACTGTCTAGGTGCTTCTTCTGGGCCAGGAATGAGTGAGTTAATTGGGTCTCCAACATATGGAAGTGTTGGTCTCTCATATTCTCCACCAATGATCACTGGGGGATAGATTGGGTTTGACGGGAATGGGTTGGGAGGAAAGGGATTAGGATACAATGGGTTGGGATGAAAGGGGATTGGATGAGGTGTAGGGGGCAGAAATAGAATGTGCCTCCATCTCAGGGCCTCCTTCTTCTGTTTCAACTTTTTCTTGTATAGCTGCAGACAGAAACAAAGGCAGTTTAAAGCTCTGTAAGTGCTCTGTGTTCCAGCTTCAGCAATTGCATTCATTTCTGCAGCACTTCTCAGAAAAGCACTTCTCACCTGTCTGAAAACCCAGACCAGCAGCTTTCCTGCCTGTCAAAGACAAACACAGCATCTCTGAAGAACCTCTAACCCAGAATTTGGGCATGCACCATGCAACTTGTTGATGCTTTTTTTTTCCCCACTCTGATCATACCCAACATGCATACACCAAATACCACACTAAAATTTAACTCAAGATTACTGTCTCCCAAAGTTTATGCTTTGTTTGCAAATTAGCCTGTGGAGACTAATCTCAGAGACATTATGTTAAAAAAGCCACCTACTTCTTTCCAGTCTGTGTCACGAGGCCTTGCAATAGGATCTAAAAAGAGAAGCAAAAAATTAAAAAGAGCAATCCAATTTATTTTTAAGAACAATTCATGTCACAGATGCCCAGTTTTGTCAGAACTTGCAGAAGAATCAAGAGATGAAAAAACACTTTTGGTCAATACATTTTTTTCATATAGATAATGCATCTTAAAAATAAAATAAAGCTCCAAAACCATTCAACAGGTGATCTACTTGCACACCTGTTTTACATAAAGCATCAGCTCCAAAAGTTACTAAGTACAGAAATCCCAGAAACACTGTCCCCATCTTTGACTTCTGGCAGCACTTCCCTTGATTGCCTTATTTCTTCAATCTCTTGTGAGAAATTATAGCAGAAATATCTCTTTCCTCCACTTCCTAATATCTGCAATAGCCAGTACACCAAGGTAATGAGAGAAATGGACGAAAACAAGGTAGTCTGCACCACACAATGGGAAGAAAGCTGTGCATCCACCTGAATTACACCTGACCAACTGTACTGGTTAGCATCACAAATGACTGTATTTACTCACAGTGTTTAAAAATCAGAAGTGGTTGCCCGAGGAGCCTCTTTATCAAAATCTGTCAGACCTAATATCTCTGTTCACATGAAAATGTATTTAGAAAAACATGTCTGATCATTACCTCGGAAATCTCGCAAATACATAAACCTCCATAGAAGCTGGTCATTTGAAGCTGCGTAAAGATCACGGCAAGCAGCAGAAAGAGAGATAAGTGAACGGACATCCAGAAGTCTGAAAATCCGAAGCTTGAGCTCGAGAGGAAGGACCACTAACCCAAATACATCTGGCAAGTTCAGAGCTACAAAGTGGAAAAAATAGAAGCATTACCTAAGTAGTGCAGAGTTTATCTCTAAAGTCCCTAAAAGAAAGAAAGGACATTATAATAATTCCCTTAAATCATTTCACAGAATCATTCAAGTTGGGAAAGACACTTGGGATCATCAAATCCAACCATCAGCCCTACACTACATAGTTCTCCCCTACACCATATCCCCCAACATCTCATCTAAATGACCCTTAAACACATCCAGGGATGGTGACTCCACCACCTCCCTGGGCAGCCTATTCCATTCTCTGACCACTTTCTGTGAAAATTTTTTTCCTAATGTCCAGCCTAAACCTCCCCTGTTGCAGTTTAAAGCCATTCCCTCTTGTTCTGTCACTAAGTACCTGTGACAAGAGACCAGCACCAACCTCTCTACAATGTCCTTTCAGGTAGTTTAGAGTGGTGAGGTCTCCCCTCAGCCTTCTCCTCAAACTAAACAGTCCCAGCTCCTTCAATTGCTCCTCACAGGATTTGTTCTCCAGGCCCTTCACCAGCTTCGTTGCCCTCCTCTGCACTCGCTCTGGCACCTCGATATCTCTCTTGTATTGAGGTGCCCAAAACTGGACACAATACTCCAGGTGTGGCCTCACCAGTGCAGAGTACAGGGGGACTATCACCTCCCTACTTCTGCTGGTCACAGAAGAATTTCTAATACAAGCCAGGATGATGTTGGTTTTCTTGGCCACCTGGGCACACTGCCAGCTCATGTTCAGCTGCTTGTCAATTAGAACCCCCAGATCCTTCTCTTCCAGACAGTTCTCCAGCCACACCTCCCCAAGCCTGTAGCGATGCATGGGGTTGTTGGGGCCCAAGTGCAGGACATGATACTTAGCCTTGTTGAAGCTCATCCCATTAACATTGGCCCACCGATCCAATGTATCCAAGCCTCTGTAGAGCCTTCCTATCTTCACACAGACTGACACTCCCGATTAACTTGGTGTCATCTGTGAACTTACTGATAAGGACTCTATGTACTTATCAAGATAATCAATAAAGATGTTGAACAGAAATGGTCCCAACACCAAGCCCTGAGGAACACCACTTGTGACTGGCCACCAGGTGGATTTAGCTCCATTGACCACCACTCTCTGGGACCGTTCATCCAGCCAGTGCTTGACCCAGAAGACCGTCTGCTCATCCAGGCCATGGGCAGACAGTTTTACTATGAGAATTCTATGGGGAACTATGTTGAATGCTTTTTGAAAATCCAGGTAGACAATAAGCACAGCTTTTACCTCATCCAATAGTTGGGTCATCTTGTTGTAGAAGGAGATCAGGTTTGTCAGGCAGGACCTGCCTTTCATAAGCCTACGCTAGATTAGGCCTGATCCCCTGGTTGTCCACTATACAACTTTTAATGGCACCCGAGATGACCTGCTCCATGACCTTCCCTGGCACCAAGGTCAGACTGACAGGTCTATAGTTTCCTGGATCCTCCTTTCTGCCTCTCTTGTAGATGGGTGTCACATTTTCCACCCTCCAAGTCCAGTGGGACCTCCCCAGTTAGCCATGACTTCAGGTAAATCATAGAAAGCAGCTTGGCGAGCACATCTGCCAACACCCTCAGCACCCCTAGGTGTAACCCATCCAGTCCCACAGACTTGTGTGCATCCAAGGGGTGTAGCAGGTCTCTGACCACCTCCTCTTCAACTGTGGTGACCTCAATCTGCTTCCCCTCTCCATCTTCCAGCTCATGGGGCTGGGTGTCCAGGGAACAGCCAGTTCCATTGCTCAAGACCGAGGCAAAGTAGGCATTGAGCACCTCAGCCTTTTCCTCATCCTTTGTTACCATGTTTGCCTCTGTATCCAATAAAGGAGGGAGATTTTCCCTAATCCTCCTTTTATTGTTCATGAATTTATAGAAACATTTTTTATTATCCTCAACAGCTGTGGCCAGGTTGAGCTTTAGCTGTGCTTTGGCTCTCCTAATGTTCTCCCTGCATAACTTCACTACATCTTTACAGTCTGCATCAGAGACCTGCCCCCTCTTCCAAAGGCAATAGATTCCCCTTTCATTCTTGAGATCCAGCCAAAGGTCCCTGTTTAGCCAGGCCGGCCTCCTTCCCCTCCTGCTTGTTTTTCAGCAGATGGGAACAGCCTGCTCCTGTGCCTTTCAGACTTCACTCTTCACATCCTTCAGGGCAGCCTCCCAAGGGATTTTGTAAATCAGTCATTTCTCTTTGATGCCTGTTACACCACTTTTTTCAGAAAGTAGTGACATGACTTCTTGTAAAACAGATTTCTTGCAACTCTAAGTACATTTACGGAGTGTACAAATAGCACTTTATACTGACAACCACTGGCCACTAAGCCCAAGAAATATTCCATACACCAAACTATGTTTATAGGCTCAGTGAACAAAGGAAAACAGACCCGCCCAATTTCATAAGCCCACATACACATTAAATACAGAGCACATGCTTCCCATAAAACCTTCCTATACTGAAGTCTAGAGGGAATTCCATTGAATAGTCTTCAGAATATAAAGCTGAGACCTTTTATGGCAATACCTATGCAGAGAGAACGTGGCTTCCTTCTGCTTCACAAACACCAGTTTGGATTACCTCCTATCATCCCTTCCAAGGACTGAGGTCATTCCTGGAGTTAGACTTCCAAACATGATGCTATATAGATTTTTCTGCTTTGACAAAGAAATGGATCAAAACTACAGAACTACTGCCACAGAATTACTGTGGTATGACTTTCTCATCACCAAGTGTAGAAACAGGCACTCCAGTCTCTTGAGACCAGAGCAATCAAAAATTAAAACCAGAAAATTACCATGTTCTTAACATTTTCTAAGATACAAAGATTAATACTATTTCTTTAGACTGTATAAATTACTTTATGCTTACTCTTCATATACCCATCACTGAACAGCTGTTTCTAACCCTTTAGCTTCAAGGCTTCATATAGACCCCCTTCCTTCCATCCTCAGAAATGAAGTACCATCTCTAATCGCAAATATTTTCTCTTACCTTGTCGGGCAGCAGCCAGAAGAGAGTAAACCAGCTGGTCTTTAAAGAGACAGGATAATTTCTGAAGGTCTTTGTAAACACCTGCAACCTTTTCTATCAAAGAAGAGAGGTAAAAATGTTAACTTTAGGATGTCATAATGCAAAAATTATGTAAGAGCAGAATAATTATGGTTTTCTTATAGGCAGACTGTAATCTGTGTGTAATCTTGATGGGAGCAGCTCTGCACCTAGAATGTAACAATTATTCATTAAATGATTCGTCAACAAACTACAGATCAGTCCCATGGTCAGGCTAGGCTCTCCTTTAGCATTAAAAAGCACCATTAAGAGAAATATTTGAGCTTTTCAGAAACAGATTGACTCTCAAAATATCACAGCTTCCTTTGTCAGATTTCAAAGCTCATGTGTAACATGCACCTATGCTCTAAATGCCTGCAACATTCATTTCTCTGACAGGAATGTTTTCCCATGTTGTTCTCTGAAGAAAGAGGAGCCAGAAGACTACCATTATACTGGAGACACTTCAGTGATCAGTTAATTCTTCTAAGCCTTTTGACTAGGCTTGTACATCAGTGACTGGAGCTACCCAGGACACAGTGTAGGACACTGAGTCAGCCTCAACTACCAGCAAAGCAGTTCATATACTACAGAGAACAAAAGGCTAGTTAGGTCTGTGCTCACAAGGATCCACATCTGTCTGCCCTTCTCCCCTCCCCCATCTTAGTCCTCCCTCTAAGTTTGGCATTCTGGAGAGTTATGTGGTCAGCATATGTTTTCTGACAAAAAGAATGTAACAATTACAGTGCCACAACAAGAGCGCAGGTAGCATCAGCCTCTGAAGTCCTGAACTGCTAGGCAGAAACGGGGTATAACCCAGCATTGCTGCCCCAGAGATTCATACATATGCTTAGGACCTCATAAATAACAGTCATATGGGGCAAAGGATGACTCAGGCTTTGCAAGGTTCTTTCCTTACACACTTAAATCAATAAATTCAAATTGTTTCAACAGCAAAACATGAGTAAATAGCTGCACTCTAAATTCCTTTTACCACAAAGCTATAACTCACCTAAATACAGTAAAACCACAGTTTTACTCTTTTGAAGTATTCTTTACCTATTTGGTCCTCTGTTGAAGTATATCCTTATTCACTGTGTGACCTCCTGACATTTAAGTTTGTGACTATGAGTATCATAGCTCAATCGTACCTGGCTCCTGAAAGCAAACAAAGGTTGCTGGCAATAGCTGTATTCTCTTAATGCCTTTAATCTCTTTGTTGATTTTTAAAGTTGCTGCAAATATAAGAGAAAAAAAAAGGACATTTCAAAATTTAAAACACATTGAAAGATGACAAAGATCACTTCATTACTGCCTTACCCTTCGGAGGTGTTTTACTCTCCTCCCTTACCAGATTCCCTCAAGGAAAATACCCAAATATAGCCACAGCTGGACAAACAAAACTTTCAGAAAAATAAAATGGAACGTAAAATATCAGGAAATAACAGTTAAACTGTTAGTGTGCTACAGGATAAATTATGTATTAAAGAGTACATAGTCTAGAATTTGCTTGTGAGTCTTGCAAAGAACAAGAGACAAGACAAAATATTGCAGCTGAAGCAAATCTACCTCTTTTAATGTTTGGCAATGTATACCGAATTCCTGTGAAGTGACACAAGAAACATTGCAATGAAAAGGCCAGCTGAATCCTCTAAGTTAGAATTGTTCTGTTATGATTAGAGGGAGAGAAACAACACAGAAATGCCAAGAATATTCAGCATTAGGAAATAGCATCTCTTGCACCTCAGAAACCTGGACAACAAGGTGCAGTTCTAATGAGTGCACAAAAGACCATTAAAGTTTTCTCTTGCTAAACAACGGTGATATTTAGCAATGTGCATTCAGGAAAAAAAATCTTGACTATCTTACCATTAATAGCAACAAGATCTCCCAAAGGCACACAAGTCAAACCAGCAGAACCTTCTTCACAAAGTGGATGCGTATACTGTAGCTTGTAAACACCATTACCTCGCCACTTCTCTGGCATAGACACTGCCTTGGCTTCTGTCCCCTAAAAATACACAGAGATCACATTGCCATACTTTAGCAACATATCAAGGGGTGAAAAAAGAGAATTAAAAGTTAGGAACTGCCAGAATGCTGCTTGCAATTCAAATCTTAGTTTAGTCCCAATGAACAGACTATAATTACATGATTATATACTATTTTTCCCAAGACTAACAGCAAATCTAAGGAGGAGAAGTTTAGTAATTTTTTGTCCTATCTCAGTTTCTGGCATGGAAGGTTGGTCAGTGAGCACTCACACCTATTTCTTGGAGACATGTACTTCATTCTATTATTTATTCCAGTAACAGTACAACAGTACTTACTTACAACAGTATTTACTGTACGAAAAACATGTTATTACACCTTTTCTGGGAAGTTATGAGATCTGACAGGACTTGAAGAATCATAGCTTGAAATCCATTCAAAAATCTGAGCAGACTAACAGTTTTTCCTTTCAATTTCAGTATTAAAAGATTCAGATGGAATCCCAGAGGGGAACACAAGATAATCACAAGTAAAAGTAGACTCTGTCTCTTTCCTCTTAAATCAGCACAGCAACCACCTTCCCTACTCCCAAGCCTACTGATTGACATAAACTTTCTTCCCAGTGGCAAATGTATTCTTCAGATAGTATTTCAGGCTACAGGAATGCAATTAACTTAGCAGATTTATTTAACTGGTATTGGTCAACTGGACACCTAAACTGACCCCCTAACGTGTTTACTTAGCCTCACCACAAGAAAAAAAAGCATGAGAATTTAAACACTTTCCCTGAGAGCAAATTTTTTTTTTTTTGCATGTTCAGCCACATATCTGTAAACATACAATACAAATCTAAAAAAGCAAAAGGTGAATTCATACATTGAATAGAGGTACTGCCATAGGTGCTTGAGTTAAGATACCTCTGTACATTAGTGTGAGAGATGACTTGTAAAAACAGGTCCTGAAAGAAAGAGGCCTGAAAGAAACAGAGACTGAGGAAAACAGCCTGAAAAAGAGATAAAGGATTAGCAGGGGGAGTGGAGGCCCTCTGAGATAAGGAATGTCTCAAGAACTTTCAAGTAATGAAATTATAGTCATGGGTTGAATTGTGTGAAGGTTGAAGCTGATAAGGCTGTGCCAATAACACAGGATGCAGCTGGAGGGGGGAGCCCTGTGGAGAGAGGATGGCTCTGCTCCGGTGCACCTGGGCAAATTTCAAGGGCCATCTGTTCGGCAAGTGACCTTTGCTTCATTATCCATGAAATGCGTATACCATGAAACACCCCTGAATATCCTAACAAAGACTAGCAAGATCATGATAATTACATCATCCTCACCTTACCCCTCCCCATACATGGGATACACAGGTATGTGGGTCGACCTAGGGGATGGACCCAAGGAAAGTGTGTATAAATTGAGGGGCAGGAAAGAGGGGAGGGGGCCCGGAGAGTGAAGTGAAGCAAAGAAGACAGATGCCTGCTTGAAGCCTTGCTGGCAGGATCAATGCAGGAACCCAGACCCATGATCTCTATTCCTCTACATCTCCCTCCTTTCCTTATTCCCTTTTTCCTCCACTGCCATTAAGTAATGCAAGGCATACTGTATTGCTTGCCACAACTTGTTATATACTTAGCCAATTACTGTGTATCCAATTAGTACATTGTGGGAAGTTAATAAATGTCTGGACTTTAAGACTTGTCTCACCATTGCCCACTCCACTGGGGATTTACAAATCTTCACTTGTTTCCCTTGTCTGAGTGGGACGTGACAGTTATGGGAACCAAAGCCTAACTAAATGAGCCAGTTGAAGTTAATACAGAGTGGGAGACAACACTGTCAGACCTTGGCCTTGTTAACCACCATTTGAACAGGATACCACTGAGATTAATACTGATGCTTAAGGCAGCGCTTCAAAGAAGTGCTACAAGCTAAGTATATCTACACAAGCTCAACAGTATAGAGCAGAAACAGGAGGTTATCAGCTGGGTTCCAGTGAGGCTGAGGACTGAGAGAAACACAGGAAGAGGCCTCTTCTCTCATACCTAAAAGCTACTCTAGTCTTTAGCCTTAAGGCTTACCGGTCAGGCAAATTAGAGAAGCTGATACTTCAGCAGCCCCTACAAAGCCAAAAGTGGATCTTCAGATGCATCCTGTATCACGCATTCCCACAATATTCCACAGCTTTCTCATACCAACAAAGAAATTTCCTGATTGGTTGTGCACCTACCTGAGGTACGTAGCCTGTCTCCATCATGAGAAGATGTACTAGAACGATCAAGGCATCAGTGGCATTGGTACACTCAGCAGAAAGGTAGAGCATCTCTAAGGAATGGGGTATTTCACCATCAGCAGCTTCATTGCACAGCATGGGTTCAGAGGGATAGGAACCTGTACCTTCTTCCAGGTCAACATCTTCCGAGACTAATCCAGAAGGAAATTCTAGGCTGGATCCTGCCTTCAGGGGAAAGCAAAACATATTTTCATTCAGAAAATTATACCACTATATAAATCAATATTATTAATCCTCTTATACCAGTCCTTATAGGCACCAAGTCTACTTGCCAACTTTGCATGCAAGTGGAACAGATTCATTACATTTCAATTTTCTAGCATCCCAGCTGGAGATTGAGACCACACACATTGCCTCTGTAATTTTTTATATTTATAATGCAAGCACCTCATAAAAGGGTCTGTCATTTGATTACATATACTACTTGAACTCAAAGTAATAATACATTAAACTTCATCAGAACTTTTGCAGTGTACACAGGAATAATCTACTCACTGTAGTACCACTATTTAGATATAGCCAACACGCATGGCAAGTAACCAAAATGGTAACTTGGACTGCTTACAAACACAATAGGCCTAAATAACCGGAAAAAAACCCCAACACATCAATGGAGTATATCTGCTAACATTTGAAGAGCACTTTTATTTTTTTGGTTTTATTGTGGCTTCCTTTCTTCCATAGACACATTAAAAACAAAAAGTAGTGAAAACTATAAGCAGATTTACCTAAAGGAAGGTTCAGGAAAGGAGAAAAAAAAAAGAGACTCTAAAGCTGTAGCTACTTCTCCCCCACATCCATGTCCAATAGCACAAGACACCCTCATGTCTGTATGAGGCTGGCATGGCCATCCACGCATGGAACTTTCCTTTTTTCATTAACAGCGACACATATAGACCTAGGTAAACACAGATTTTCAGACTTCTGAAGCTCTTCTACAATGACACTTATTTGCTTGGAAATTTTCTTGCCATACTTCACCACAATTTTGAGGGAAGATGTCAAAATCTTTTAACTTGCTTTCAAATATTAAATTATTATGAAACATACTTCTGCACAGCTTACTGTTGTTTGACAAGACATAAGGAGTTTGCATGCCCACAGCACCATGCAAGGAATATTGTTCCTGACAAGAATCAATGAGACAATGGTCCAACTACATTTTCTTTCATTACTTCTTTTTACTCTAAATCTTAACTTTCACACATTAAGATAGTATTTTTAAAAGACCACTTATCCATATTCCTCATATAAAGATTGTATTAAGAAACATTTAGTATCTGAAATTAGTTCTAAACCAAAAAACTACTGGATTGAAAGAACATTGCAAGACGATTTCTCCCAGCTTCTCAAGCTCCTGCCTAAAAAGCACAGGATCGTATAACAAGATCGACCATGGCACTAGGCTGCACCTGCAGTCTCCTCCAGGGAAACTCCATTTACCACAGGACCCAACAGTTGGTGAGAACTGTTATCTGTTTAAGTATTGTATGTACAGTCACACAGAAAACAAATCACAGAGTAATATGCAAAAAATGTGCTTATTTGCTGTATGAAGCACATGGGGGTCATACAGATGCATACCTATGAAGCATGAGGCAGGAGCTATTGCAGCAACACAACCTCTATGCACAAGACAGACAGGTCTCAGTCTGAATCATAGGTAACTGCTATACCCCATTAGAAAGGAATCATGCTCTCACCTTGTGAGTGGTGTTTCCAACAGGCAGTGACTGTTGCATTTGTTCAGCCCATAGAATCAGTTTCCTCAACAAAACAGCACTGAGACAGGTTAAGAACCACAATCCTAACTTCCTTATGGAAAGTGCACATTCCAGCAAATACATTCAATGCTGTAAAAATGTCAGACCTGAAGCACCTCAGGGTCTCTGAACTAGCTTCAGTGTCACAGCTAGTATAGAACAAATAGAAACAAATATAACTGGCTATATGTCAGATAAGTATAAGAAAAATAAAAGGAGACAAATATTGTGAAGAGATTCTCTACTATATAGTACAGCAACTGACACAAGATACCTTCTTTGCCTTCCGTTGTGCAGGGCAATTCTCATGTACTTACTCTCTTGTCACTCATTTGAACGTCCACCTGAGATTTCTGGTTGTCAACTTGCTCATTATGCCCTTCTTCTTTTGGGCTCTTGGCCTGACTTTTGCTGGGAATCAAGATGGACGGCTCCTGACCATTCTGAAGTGGGGGAGGAGTAGAAGAAGGAGATAGTAGGTTGGGTTGTCCATCTGCTTCTTGTAGTAATAAGCATATCAAATCACCAGAAACAATCCCATATGAAGCTAATGTCTTCTGATCTTCTATAAGAGCATCTTTTCTGTTCAGTGTTATTGAAAACTCAGTATCAGGACTGCAAAGTAGGAAAAAAGTAAAACACCATGGTTGACTGCACACAGAGATACAGTTACAAAAGCATACTGCATACTACAATACCATGGATTTTAATCCATTAATAATTAGCCATATATTAAAGGGTGAGGAAAAAAAAATGGTATGAAATTATTCCCCCCATGTTTCTCTCCATGTACATTTTAAGTAGCCATAACTCCTTGGTAGGTACAATTTCATTCACAGTAACTGCTCATAAAACAGTTTTGAAGGAAAGTAAACAAGTGCCCTCCAAATCAGAAGATACCACACCTAGCAAAACAAGCTTTAAATAAACTACTGGCTAAGATTAATTAAAAGCAAAATAGTGTTGCAGACTCAACAACCCTGCTTTCAAATTAAGGAAAACATTCATTTCCAAAGATCAACAGCTGCCCTACAGAATACTAACTGCAAATCAGGGCAATAAGAAAAGATGCTTCGGGGCAAGCACTTACCAAAAATCAAATAGAAATGAAACTGGTTAGCACGGAAGCAGCTATAAAACAACATCCGCTGTGGCAAGACATGCAGTAACTTCAGATTTCTGCTGCCTACACTGCTATGCAGCACAGTGCTGTGCTATCAAGTGTATTTTTCACTGTGAAACATTAGTACATCACGCCCAGTTAAAGGTTTGTGAATAGAAACCCTTCAACAACCATCAGAATATGAGTCCCTTGTGTAGGCATTTACTAAACTGATTTTGCAGATGTTACTCGCCTACAAAGGCTGCCACGAGTTCTTTATAGATAAAACATTTATGAAATTTAAACCCAGAGATTCTCTAAGAAGACTGCAAAACTGTAAAAGGGATACCCTACAGCCATATTCATCATGTAAAAGCCACACGGAAATTTAAGTCAGCTCTGACTGAGCTGCAATTCACCACCGAGCACTTCCCAAAGTTTTACTTTCCCGTTCCATAGTGATCAGCCGGGAGACAAAGCCCGATCAGGGCCGGTAGCCATCCGCCGCCTTGCCCCCGGGGCTGCCGGCCCTCGATCTGTCACAAGAAGCTTAGCAGCGGACGTTACCGAGCGTCGCATTAGCTTTAACAACACGACCCCGCGAACCGGGTAAAATCTCCAGGCCCCTGCCCTGCCTGCTCCGGGATGTCGTGCACGAGCCTACCAACCGCCTGGCCTCTGCGCACCGCGGACCTCGCCCCGAAGCCGGCGGCGCACCTCGGGGCGCCCCCTGCCTCTGGCCGCTCTTGCCCCCTCCTCCGGGCGCCCGTCATGGGCCAGAGGAGCTGCTGCAGGCGCCACCGCTGCCCCTTTTCCCGCCGGCCCCG